ATACCGCTTACTCAGAAAAAGGGGTTATCCTCTTCCTGCAGTATCCACTTTGAGAAGATGGGCTAGTAAAATTAATATTGAACCAGGTATTTAGATAGATAGATAGGTATAGATTTGTATTGGTCATTTGTCTAGGTATACTTGAAAACATACTTTGGTAACAATTGTGCAACTATGATTGCTTCCATGAAGAGTAAAACCATCAGCGTTGCTTTTTACAAATTATAGATATTTGAATATGTAATTTGATGAAAACATTCTAGGATCTGCATCAGTGTGAGTGTTCTTCAGAGCTTTCTCATCCCATGTTTAATGTCATTTTTTAGTCATTCAGCATTGTTGATTGTTTATTAATTTTTATGATTAATATTATGCATGTAACTAAGATTGAATAACATATAACTACTTCAATTGTTTCAGGTATACTTAACACAGTACTGACACTGATAAAAGACACAGCTCTGCCAATGATGGAAAAAGCATGTGTCCTACTCTTTGATGAAATGAAAATTCAAAGCTGTTATGAATATGATAAGAAGAGTGACAGAACCTTAGGACCCAGTAAATATGTGCAAGTTGTCATGGCTCGTGGAATATGTGGAAGGTGGAAGCAGCCCATATTTTATGATTATGACAGGAAAATAACGAAGGATCTTTTGTTTAAAATCATTTCCAAATTAGAAAATCTGGGATACCCAGTTTATGCAATTAATTCCGATTTAGGGGACTATGGAAATCCTTGAATATAACAGAAGAAAGAACATGGTTCACAAATCCTGTAAGCCAAAAAAGAGTACATGTGTTTGCAGATGCACCACACATGATTAAACTATTGCGAAATCACTTTCTTGATGATGGTTTTATTATGAATGGAAAGATTATAACCTCTAAACCAATTGTAGATTTACTCCAAAATACACAAAATTTAGACTTAAATATTGCACATAAAATCAATACCGATTTCTTAACAGTTAAGGGTCCTCAACGACAAAAAGTTAAATTTGCAACCAAATTGTTTTCACACACAGTATCAAAAGCAATTTCAAGGCTGGGATCATTAGGTATTTTCAAAAGTGAAAACAATTGGGTTGAATGTTCAGAATTAATAAAGATCACCAATGACTGGTTTGACGTATTCAATTCGAGAATACCTCAGAGTGATTCAAGGGAACGTGTAAAGGCATATGGGTTGGCTTTAGATGAGCAAAATCAAATTTTAGAGTCAATGGAAAAAACAATGCAAAATCTGAGAAAAGTCGGCGCTAACACGTTGTTGCCGTTTCAACGAGGTATTATAATCAGCATACAGTCTTTGAAGCAGCTTTTTTATGACATGAAAGAGGATTTCGGTATAAAATATCTATTAACTTATAATTTGAATCAGGATCCCTTAGCAGGTTTTTTTTCACAAATTAGAGCAATTGGAGGCTTATATGATCACCCCACTGCTCTGCAGTTCAAATATAGACTCGGCAATTACATCATGGGACGATATGACGACATTATTTCCAAATCAGCAAATATTGCTACCATAGGGGACGTGCCAAATATTGCAATCGCTAGTGTAAGTAGTATTTCGGACCTTAATGTGTATGAGAATGATGTCGATGACTTTGAAATTGTTACTGGACAAATGTTTGAAGTTTTAAATGTACCAAATTGTGATGAACCTGTACAAAAAGATTCCGATCCAGAGGATACAATCATTGACCATCTCCAAGAATTAGAATGGGATGGTTTAGAAAATTTGGCTGGTTATATAGCATATAGGTTAAGGAAAAAAGAAAATTTAGGTGTTATTCCAGATGACAGTGAATCATCATTTTCATGGGTTAACCACCTCTCTGAGGGTGGTTTATTCAAACCAAATGCCGATTTTATGGTCAAATGTAATGAACTTGACCATATTTTCGGCACTTTTAATGGGGAAACATTGAAATTAACCAAAAATTATCTGAAATCTTTGATGGATTTAGCTGCATCAGTTAGCTTGAGTGCAGATGCCAAGCATCTTTTTTTTCGTTGCAAGATGTATTTTAAAATTAGGAGTTTGAACAGGCACATAAAAGAAAAATCCCAGGTTGCAAAAAGGAAAAAGTTGAAAATTGTGCAATGAATTATATACTAAGTGATATACATATAAATCCGAACACCCAGTTTAAATGGTTTTATTTTAATAAAAGTTGGTGAATGTATTTATCTTACTGTAAATAACAAGTGAAAAAATGTTCAGCCTTATCAGTTGGACATTCCGGTTTTTATACTGCTTTTTTTTAATTCACTAACGATCTAAAAATGAATATTTCAGCCTTCATTTACCCTATCTTGACACCCTGTCAGATCCAACTATCCAACAAGATAATGCCCGACCACATGTTGCAAGAGTCACAATAGACTTCTTTCAACATAATGATGTCACATTGTTACCCTGGCCACCAAGATCTCCCGACTTATCCCCAATTGAGCACGTGTGGGATGTGATGGGTAGGCGATTGCTCAATTTGCAACGTCCTCCTCAGACTCTAGAAGCACTTCGAGAGGAGTTGGTGGTTGCCTGGAATGAGATACCACAGGAGGACATTGACCACCTGATCAGAAGCATGCCTAGGCGCGTTGGAGAATGCGTAGCACATCAGGGTGCATCCACACATTATTAAAGGTCAAAGGGCTTTAAAGCAGTGCAATCATTTTGAATTTTTTATCATTTACTTATTATGCTTCATTAAATACTTATACAAAATTTTATTAAAATAAAACCATTTAAACTGGGTGTTCGTCACTTAGTATATAAAATTTGAGGCGCCTAAAGGGACAAATCTGGGATTTTTTTTGCCAATGTGCTTGAAATGGACTTTTTTGTGTTTTCTATTGATGAATCTTTTGTATCTTGAATTAAATAAAACTGTTTACCAATAAATAAGATTTTAGGGAAAAATCTGAGATATTCTTTTTTGCCAATATGGTCCAAATGTGAGATTCTTTTGTGTTTTCTATTAATAAGACTTGTGTATTTATACCGATGAATATTGTAAAATAAATTAAATAAAACTGTTTACCAATGAATGAGGTTTTTATTGTCACCTATCTATAAAAATATTGAAAAACTATGTAAGTAGACTACCTATTTATACATAACACTATAAAGACATGAGATGCGACATATTCGTCATCTATTTTTTTCTGCTGAAAAAATGCACAAATGAATTATTATTTATTTCTATAAATAAAGTGAGCCCCTTTATTTAGAGTTACAACAAATTTTAGTTATTAAACGGCTGGTGGCATGTTACTGTTCATTTTTAAAACCCATAACTTATCTATAATGATATATTCCAACGCGCGACCCGCCCGATCTCTACTTGCGGCCCAACTGACAAACTCCATTAAATTCTATTGACAAGTACATCAAAACATAAATAATAAAATCTATGCATACTATGCAATACTAAAACAATCATGTGACATTAAAAACACTACAAAATATAAATCAAACATCCCAAATATTGAAATCACAACGTCTAAATCTACATCTAAATCGTATCTGAATACACTGTATTTCGTACTGCGCGCCAAACATAGGTCTCCGCGTGACGTCATGCGCAAAGGCGTACGAAATTCGACCGCGAAGTAAGCTTACCTTCATAGTCATAGTATCATGCGTAACACCGGTATGCTACTAAGCGAGTCAAAAATCGTACGATGGCGCGCATGACGTCACCTGCGAAGCATCGATGAATGGCGATTACAGAACAGAGTTCAGTATAGTGAGGTTAGGATAATACCGACGTTATAAGATTTTGTTCCAGCATTTCGTTTTCCTTTTTTACATCGACAAGAATGCCGGGTTGTGCGGTAGCTAATTGCAAAAATTATAATAGGGTTACGAAAGGATCTGATATAAGGTACTTTCGATTTCCAAAGAATGAAGAGTTTGTAAAGCGATGGGTAGGTGCATGTCGCCGTGAAGATGAAATTAATTTGAGAAATGGTTAGTACATATTTTCAAGTTGTGCATACAATATTTTACACCTTTCCTTTTGTTAAGAAATATTAGGAAAAAGCTATGATGATATCATTAGATTTTTTATTCGTAGCATGCATCTGCTCCGAGCATTTTGATGCCAGCTGTTTTGAAATTCCATTGCGACAAAAATTGCTAAAATACACCCCCAAAAATAGCCGATATTTGAAACCTGATGCTGTGCCTACTTTACGACTACCAGGATGTCATGATTCCTGCTCACAAAATCAAGGAGACAGATCAGCACGACTGAAAAAGAGAACACAACATAAAAATGTAGAAGATATGCTAAAAGCAAGTACTTCGATCATTTTGAATCTAACACAGCAAAAAAGTACCAATGATATCAGAACTGAGCATGGGCGTAGTCAAGGTGGGGCAGGGTGGGGCGCTTGCCCCCCCCTAGACGGACCCTATTAAAAAAATTAAATTGAATTATATAACTAAAAAAAAATTAATTCAAATGATCCTACCCTACTTACTTCCTAAACCTCTTAACTGGGTATGTCAGATATTTTCGCATCCTAAAAAGTTAAAATTAATGAATAAAAAAGCAACGCTCCCAGTTTAAATGCAAGAAATTATAATAAAATAGTGTATATCTGGTTGCATAGAAACAAGTTTCAATAGCTCCCATTTAAGTTGCCATTTGCCATTGTATTGTTAGGTTTTAGATCAGCGGTTCCCAACCCGTTTTTAGCGAGGGACCACTTTGAATTCGTAATTGTTTGCCACTACCAGTTGACAGTTCACACTTTAAGGTTAACTTATTTCGCGAAATCAAATGTAAAGCTTGCTTTGTTTTGTATTTGAGCATTGAGCATCACTGTTTTTTTGAGATTTTGGTTTGTTAGTAATGTTTATTTTTGGTTTACCTAATTATTTGTGTTACGCATATTCGTACATAGTTAAGGTGTACTCGAAGATTTTTTGTCTCAAGCAGTTTGCCAGTGAGCCGTGGATAAAAGTTTATTTAATAATGGACATTAGAAAATTCTTTAGCTCCAAAGGTAAGCAAGCAATAATTTGAATACTTACTAATTATTATTAGGTAAGGGTAAGAAGGGAATATAGTTATCATTACATATCACTTATCATTCATATAGTTCCGATTCCGATTCAAAGGTTGATTCTCTTTCACTCGTATTATCAAACTGAAACTTTTCCTCTTTATGTACAAAATTTTGTAAAATGCAACAAGCTTTCACAATATCCACAGCCAAATCGATGGAAACATTCAGTGGCCGGTGGAGAATACGCCATTTATTGGCTAAAATGCCAAAACCACATTCAACAAATCTTCGTGCTCTTGTGAGTCGATAATTGAACGTTCGTTTTAATTGGTCAAGTTGGCCTCCGAATGGACGAAGTAAGTGATAGTGCAGAGCAAAGGCTTCGTCTCCAACAAACACAAACGGTAATTTGTAGTCTGTTCCAGGCAAGCGGATTTCGTCGGGTAGGTTCAGTGTATTGTTTGTTAAGTTTTTCCAAAATGCAGTTTCTTTGAAAACACTATCGCTATCTACTACCGCCATTAAAACTATAGAAAAATAATGTTTGTAATTCAAAAACATCGAACCACTATCCACTGGCTTAATCACTCTGATGTGTTTACCATCGACTGCACCTAAGCATAGCGGGAAATCAGAAGATTCTTGAAACTTGTTAGCTATTTGTAGCCAGTCTTCCTTAGAAGGCATTTTCATATACTCTTTGCACAGTTCTGACCAAATACACTGGCAAACTTCACGTACGATGCAACTTATGGTTTTTACTCCAATTCTATAGGTGTAGTGTAGGTCTGTAAACGTAGCTCCTGTTGCTAGGTATCTGAAATACAATGATAAAAATTAATTTTATTTACAGGGCAACATGTGATGAAAAAATGGACCAATATGAAAGATAATTGGATGAAATGTCATAAAAAAATGGGTGAATATAAATCTGGCGCTGGAGCACACAAAATAAGAAAATACAATTTTTATGATCAAATGCTATTCTTAAGCAAAATTGTAGAACATCGCAAGACTGATTCCAGTATGGATGAGCATGTTAATAGTTCAGGCATCAATAATGAAAATGCAGAACCGAATCCATCAAGATCACAGAACGGTAAAGCGAGTGAGGCTCCAAAGGCTAAGCAGAAGAAAAAAAATAATCAACTTAGTGAGGTTGACATTAAGTTTATGAAGTTTATGGATGTAACGGCACAGGAGGAGAAAAGCCGCAGTATGAACTTTTTTAGAGGAATTTCTGATTCAGTTGACAAGTTTACTGATGAAAACATGATAGATTTCCAGTTTCAAGTCATTTCAATAATTAAAAGCATACAAGAAAGAGAAAATAACCGATATATAGCAGCACCTAGAAACCAATGGGATCATGGCCAGCAAGGATATCAAAGCGGCACAACACCTGCGAATTCACAGTTTTCAGTGTATGGGCATTCCACAGCTGCTCGATCAGGCTTTGGAATCAATGGCCAGGAATACGATTTTGGACATAGCTCTGGTTTAGAGCCCATCCCCAACCGACCAGAATCGCAAGCATCTGCTCAAAGTGCGAATACAGAAAGTACCTCTGCAAATTCTCAAGCCAGTACTGAAGGTATTCGATTTTAGCTCTGTATTTCGGGAGCATCTTTAGCTTCAACTTAGTTTTTTTACGTAACTTATAATCATTCATAGTACAAGTTCGTTTGAGATACAAGGCTTTGTATTAATACATAAATTTAAGTAAAAGTATTTAGTTTGATTTTTTACTTACCTCAACGTTACAGCCAATCTTTCTGCGGGAGGTATGCTTTGTCGCATATTGGTATCTTGGTGCTTTAATTTCTGTGATAATTTTTGCAGCAGTTTATCGAAAGTTGTTTTCTGCATTCTGAAATAATTGTAAAACTTGGCTTCATCCTCCCTCAATTGATTCTTGACAAGCGTATGAAATGCGCCTAATTCTCCCCGTTTTTTCAAGATCGGGTGTATCCAAAACCTTCTTTTTCTTCTCTCTTGTTTTTTCAGTCTTCTATACACATAGTACGCAAGCACAATCTTTTTCTTAGGATTCATGGCGAGGACTTCTATAGTTTGCCGCAGAAAAGTCTCAACTGAGCTCACTTGGATTCATTCGACGGGCACCTTTGCCGTGCCCCGTGCAAGCTTGCACGTTTTTGTAACCGTACGGCAAAAAAAACGTGTCGTGAACAAGAGGCCTAAGTTTACTTCTAGTACTGAATATATTAACCAGTGAATGGCTCCCAAATCACGCATGCAACAATCACAGGACAGTGACGTTTTAGCGCCTAATTCAAAAGTGAAAAAATTATTCTTTTTTTTCTAACAAAAATCGAACAACTTCTATCGGAAAACATATTTCACAAGATTTTTATTACCTAATTAACAAAGTAAGACACTTTTGACAAAATAGAGAATATTCTATTAATCTAATAACTTGTTTATTACAGAGCAAGTGACATACAGATAAAAACGTTGAAGGAGAGAATAGTGGTTCTGGAAAAGCAGAATAAAGCATTCACTGAGCGGGTTGAAAAAATAGAAGAAAAAACAGCCTTAAAATATAAAGATGTCTTGGCCAAAGTTTTCACTCTGGGGCAGATAAAAAAATTATTGAATGCAGGAAAAAAAAGAGTCCGTTGGTCACCAGAGGATATTGCAACCGCAATTTCTTTACGTAGTGTCAGTCCAAAAGCATATCGTTATTTGAGAGTAAACAATTATCCTTTACCAGCTTTGTCCACCTTAAGAAGCTGGGTTTCCAGCTTTGACGTACATCAGGGTATTTTGAAGAGTGTAATAACATTAATGCAAAAGAAGTCTCTTGATTGTACTGAAGCTGATAGAATTTGCGTACTAAGCTTTGACGAAATGTATGTTTCGAACAAAATCGAGATCGATAAGAAAACTGAACAGATCATCGGACCTCACAGATGTTGTCAAACTGTTATGGTGCGTGGTTTACTTTCAAAATGGAAGCAACCAATTTACTATGAATTTGATCAGTCGATGATGAAATATATTATTGAAAAAATAGTAGCTGAACTGTTCCGAGCAAATTTTATCGTAGTAGCGATTACTAGTGACATGGGCACTGGAAATACTGGACTGTGGTCTCAGCTGGGTGTTGGACATCAAAATTGTTTTTTTAATCACCCTTGTGATAACTCTTTAAAGATTTTTGTTTTCGCAGATCCTCCACATCTGCTAAAACTTACTCGAAATCATTTAATTGATCACGGTTTTATTATCGATAACAAAGTAATCAATAAAGATTACTTTGAAGCGCTGCTAAATATTTCAACTTCAGAGTTAACAATTGCGCACAAATTGACACCACACCATCTCTGCTTAAAAGGCTCTATGAGACAAAAAGTGAGACCTGCAGTACAATTATTATCAAACTCTGTAGCAAAAGCAATCAGTTATGCTGGAGAAAATGGACTCATGCCAAAAGACAGTTATTGGAAAGAAGCTGCTGTAGTTGTTCAACTATTCAATGATTTGTTTGACTTATTTAATTGTCGATCTAAGTTTGTTGAAAATTGTCCAACACGAAATGCATATGGCACAGATTTAGATAAGCAGATACGTCTGCTAGATGAAATGTCAGAAGTAGTTAGTTCAATGCGGATAGGTAAACATAAAGGGCTTATTCCGTTTCAAAAAGGTATATTACTCTCTAATAGATCTCTGAAAGAGCTACTTCCTTACCTACGTGAAAAATATAATGTAGAGTATATTTTAACTTCTCGGCTGAATCAAGATGTACTTGAGAACTTCTTTTCTTACATTAGAGGAATGGGCGGCGCAAATGATCATCCTTCGCCACTAGATTTCAAATATAGATTACGGTGGTACATTTTAGGAAAGAATTCGTCAGCGATCTTCACAGAATGTCGCAATACCATTGAAAGCAATGAATCTTGCTTAACTAATATGATAGAAAGTTCTTCATTGCCAAGCGATATGTCAACATCAGAAGATATTTGCTTGACACAAAAAATGTTTTCTAATTTGGTAGAAGAAGTTGGATGTTCGAAAGGACCTCAGTGTGAAGAGGAACAAATAATTCAAAACACATTTGTAGAAGCTCTTTACTTGGAGGATCATGTGATTGATGAAGACATGTTAAAACTTGTAGACAATTATGAAGTGAAAGAGAAAATTCACCATGATTCTTTAAAGTATGTTGCTGGTTTTGTTGCATATAAATTCAAGCATAAATATAATTTAGGGAATCCTACAAACACCTTTGAGAGAAATATAGAACCAGATTGGCTTCAGACAATCTCTAGAGGCTCTCTGCTGTATCCTAACGACGAATTGTATGAAGCTACACTGAAACTGGAATCAGTGTTTTACACAATGCATGGAAGCTCTTTATCCAAGGAAAATCAAATTTTTCATAAGCTTGCCCAGAATACTTTAAATCAGCTTAAGAATACCTCAATACCATTCAAAGTGCTCCTATGTCTCAGTAGGACACGTACATATATAAGATTAAGAGACATGAACAGGAAAATTAGTTTCAATAACTGTCAAAGGACACTCGAAAAAAAAATGTCCAAGTTTGTTAATTTTAGGAAATAAGTTTTTATAATGTACTTATTTGTTCAATAAATTTTCACAAATATAATTTCTATAACTATGCTTGAAATATTAATTACAAAAGCTTATTGTTACAGTCGTATATTAATATACACATATATACATTATATATGGTACAAAACAGTAAGTAAATCTATGCTTACATTTAATATTAACGGGCTAATGCAGACGTCCGTACTATTCAAACAGAAGCATTGCTTCGCACGTGACGTCACGTAGTGAGAGAGAGATAGCGCTAGCATGCGCAATGGCATACCGGTGTTACGTGTATCGTGGTCCACACGTTTTATTTCTAAGAGCACAAAACTGTCTCTAAAATTGTTAAATGTAGTATTAAATACCCCTTGTAACTTGTGAAACGTCTAGTAGCAGACTACATTATTGTACAAGAAGAATAAACCCGACTCACCACCGGAAAAGGAACAAATAGCTGTTATTTCACCCCCAAGGCCAACTACCTCTCTCAACATTTTGGACCTTCGGCCGAATATCAAGTTGGAACCTGAACTACCAGTACCAGCGAGATTCGAGATTAGCCTTGCAAAGGGGTGCGGTGAGTCCTTGATTCCCTTTTGCCCATTATCTTGCCCTTAAGGTCGTTGATTTCAAGACGCTTATTAGAATTGCTTGCTTTGCTTTAGAATTTAGTGCTTTGCAAATTGTAAAATAATGTCGTATGATCTGTCGAATTTGGTGCGCCAGAGAGGCGTAATAAAAGCGCGACTTACTAAGTTCAAAAAGTATTTAGATAATGTATCTGCCACGGAATCTTTAGACGATGGAACCTTGTTCGAACTACGGCAGAAAATTGAAAGAATAGACGCGGCAAATGAGGAATTTGCAGGAATACAGTGCCAAATTGAATCTTTAGTTCTTGATGATGATCTGGATGAGCAAATCGCGGAGCGTGAAGTCGTAGAAAACTATATTGATCGCTATTTGGGTTTGGCAAAATCGATAATAAACGACAAATCAGAAGTAAAGTCTGGCAACAGCGCGAAGTCCATCCCTTCCACTGCGAGCAGTGCGCGTGCCCGAGGAGAGGGGATCGTTCAAATCGACGTTCGTTTGCCGAAAATCGAACTGCCGAAATACAGCGGCGATGCCAACTCTTGGGTTGAATTCCGGGAAATCTATAATTCACTTGGTCATTGCCCTAGTACTTTAAAAACGTTTGTAGCCAATCGACTATCTGAAATTCAGACATTGACAGCGGAGCACCAGTGGCGTTACATTGAAACAAAACATAACCCCGCGGACGTGTTGTCGAGGGGAGCATATCCACATGAGTTAAGTGACATGGTCTTATGGTGGAATGGGCCAGATTTTCTATCTGAAGACGAATCGAATTGGCCTGATGTCAAATTTAGTGTACCAAATTTGCCAGAGTTAAACGCGACATCCAAGGCTTTTATTTCAAATTTGAACTTTACCGATTCATCGTTTTCCAGATACTCAACTTTGACAAAATTGAGGCGAGTGATTACCTATATTAATAGATTTAAATGCAATAGCATGAAGTCGAAAAAGCTCACCGGTCCTTTGTCCGTTAGTGAGCTAAGTGAGGCCCTTTTATGTTTGATAAGATTGGCTCAAAGGGTTTCATTTCCTGAAGAATATGATTGTTTGACACGAAATGTAAAATTGAATCACAAATCGAGAATTTTGAGTTTGTCACCTTTCCTTGATGAAAACGGAATCATCAGAGTAGGCGGCAGATTAAAAAACTCTTTCTATGCATATGAGAAAATGCATGCAATGGTATTGTGCGCGAAGCATTCATTAGCTATTTTAATTGTAACCTTGGAGCATCAAGTTACCTATCATGCGGGCCCTCAAGCATCACTCGCAACGCTGCGTGAGAAGTATTGGATAGTCTCCGGACGTCGTCTGTGCAGGGACGTTATCAATAAATGCGTTACGTGTAGAAGACAAAGGGCACAAATCTTAGCGCCAATTATGGGTCAATTACCTAAATCGAGATTTTCTTGCAATTTCCCGTTTGAAATTTGCGGTGTTGACTACGCAGGGCCGTTTCTAATAAAGAATAAAGGAGGGCGCGGATGCAAACTGATTAAGAGCTACGTATGTTTGTTCGTTTGCTTTTCTACAAAGGCCATACACCTCGAATTGGTGTCAGACTTAAGTACCGAAACTTTTATTTTAGCTTTAAGGCGTTGCCCGACGCGGTAAGCCTAAACAAATCAACTCTGATAACGGCACCAAATTTATCGGAGCAAATTCGGAGCTAAATGAACTTTCTAGTTTTCTACGAGAGCAGGCTCCTTCAATTATTGATGCTTGTAGCGAAAGCGAAATCGAATGGCGTTATATTCCTGCTCATTCACCTCATTTCGGTGGTTTATGGGAGGCAGGTGTCAAATCCGTCAAACATCATCTAAAGAGATCCGCAGGTAGCGCGAATTTTACTTTTGAGAAATTTTATTCATTACTGATTCAAATAGAGGCGATCTTGAATTCTCGACCTCTGTGCCCGTTATCCACTGATCCTCATGATTTGTTCCCACTCACCCCCGCGCACTTCTTGGTTGGGCGAACATACCATGAGGTGCCAGATCTGGACGTCACTGCGATAAATCCTGGAAAATTGTCACAGTTCCAGAAAGTTCAGGCTGCCAAACAGCATTTTTGGCAGAGGTGGAACTCCGAGTATGTGGGAGAATTGCAGCAGAGGAAGAAATGGATGAAGGATGGCGGATCGACGTTGGAGCCAGGGATGATGGTACTCATCAAAGAGGACAACCTACCACCTTCCAGATGGCAGTTAGGCAGGGTGTTGGAGTTGCATGCCGGTCGTGATGGTGTTGCGAGAGTGACAACCGTTAAGTGTGGTAGTGGCAAAGTGAAACGGTCATTTGCCAAATTGTGTCCGTTGTTTTAAGTGCATTTCGCGGAGCTCTATACGTTTATTTGGAGCCGCAGGACTCCAACGAGGGGAGTATGTTTCCGCGTGTTACGAACAATTTGCCCGACGTGGCAACAGTGGGGGAAGTTGAGAGAACTAGAACATACAGTCCACACGTTTTATTTCTAAGAGCACAAAACTGTCTCTAAAATTGTTAAATGTACTGTTAAATACCCATTGTAAGTTGTGAAACGTCTAGTAGCAGACTACAACATTGTACAAGAAGAATAAACCCGACTCACCACCGGAAAAGGAACAAATAGCTGTTATTTCACCCCCAAGGCCAACTACCTCTCTCAACAGTTGGCGAACGTCGATTGCTATCGGCAGTAAAAGCCGTGTATCTCCTAACGTAATTTAAATGGATCAAATAGCGCGATTAGGAATCTGTGTAACTCCCATACTGCTCAGAAACGGCGCGAAAATTGTGTTTCTCCATCTGTTCCTATAGTGTAGTACAGAGTTATGTTGACGTCGTCTAAAAGTGCTCACTTCTTACAAAATAGTCCATAAATATTGATTGTGGTTACATGCTACAAGGTAAGTTCTCAATCATGCGTTTTTATACCACAATTAGTTCAATTGGATAAATATTCCTTAGTTTAAGACATCATATTTTTGGATCTGGAGATACACAATTTTCTGTGAATAAGAACTAACGTATTATTGGAGATACATGTTATGCAAACATTTAAAAATCAAGAAATTTCTCTTGTTGCAGAATGTCACGTGGATTAAAAATTCTTGAAATGTTGAATCTGGATGTACCGATGGCTGCCATTTTATCAGAAAATAATACAAACGTTGTTGGAAATGAAATTGCTTTCGAATCCTCTAGTCCTAGTACTAAATCAGGACATGACACAACTTTGAACTTAAGACATTTCTGATGTATTAACTGAAGCAATTAACAACGACATAATATTTGACTGCAGTCAAGTGGCTGCTAGCCAATCTTATTCACAAGATAACGATTTGTTTCCAAGTTACGATAATATGGATGAAAGCTTATTGGAAAGTAATTTAAGACCTGCTGATGATGAAGCACAAAGTTTTGATCAGTTGTTGAATGAAGACCGTGCTAATATCGCCAGATCTATTGAGAGTGATTCAGAAAATATAAATTATTTGAATACATCGTGTGGACCTATTGAAGGACAACTACATACAAATGATCAGCTTAGTGATGCTAAGTCACAATCTAAATCGAAAAAACGTAAGCTCCTGTTGGAACGCGTACTAGCGTCACCCCGCCGCGCCGCTATTGGTAGAGAAGTGACTGCGATCGCATTCACTGCTACTGTTCACCTATTACTCACAAATCATTTAGGTAGCTGCTACTCGCTTCTGCACGAAAGAGTGAAAATATCACTGTTTAACTTAACTGCGAAGGCGCGTATCGCACATACGTCGCACACCTTGTCTCATGTCTGCGTACCGTGTACGTGTGCGACTGCAATACTTCGATGAGTGCGATGCGAGATAAAAGGCGAAATTGTTCTGAATATGAATTATGATTTGTGAATGCGATCGCCATCTATCAGCTGGACGGCTTATCAACGACTGCTAAATGCTAATTAGGTAAAGAAAGTTTCACAGTTTACTGTTTGACTGCTTCATTTTGTATAAATTCCTGCGCTTTGCAGGGTGGATTGATATAAAATGTGCTAACCTAACTTACAGTTTTTGTTATCGCAATTAGGTATTTCAAAGTACTTATTCGTGTTTGTTTTGGTTTGTGTCGTACCGGTAAGTAAATGTTACACTGCGTATAGGTACATCCGCATTTATTTAAATATAATTTACAGCACTGAGAAGAATGGCAACTCCTAATAAAAGGAGAAAAAGTAGTGAACTCTGGTTACACTTTGAAGAAAATGAAAATAAAATGGCGAAATGTCGATACTGTTATCAAAATTTAAGTTTTAAAACATCCGTAACTAATTTAAGAAAGCATTTATCGTTAAAACATCCCACTGTAGTCGTTTCACCGTCAGATGCAACCAGTACCGATTCAGCCTTAGCCCAAACTGAAAATTCAACAAATGGAAAGGCTATGCCCTCGTCAAATGGGACAGTTTTGGTCACTACAGCGGACGAGGCATCAACAAGCTTTAGTGTTTCAAATTGTTTGATTCCGAATAAAGTTCACACACTTTACCAAGAGAAAGTACATAATTTTGTAAGAAAAAAAGTTACTCCCGTTATGAAAAAGCGCTACGATGAACTCCTTATGGGATTATTTATTAAAGATTATCAACCATTCTCCATAGTTGAGGATGAAGGGTTCAAAAACTTTGTGGCAGCATTGGCTCCAGATTACAGTTTGCCAGGGCGAAAATATTTATCAGACTCTCTACTTCATGAAATGTACAATAAATGTTATGAAAGTACACGGGAACAGATGAATCAAGTAAAAAAGATATGCTTGACAACTGATCACTGGACGTCTACGGCAAATGAGAATTATATGGGCATAACTGCACATTTTATAGACGAAGATTTCAAATTGCGTTCCAAATTAATTAAATGTATAAAATTTGAAGGTGAACATACTGCTGTACAGATTGCCGCTGAAATGAAACGCACCGCCGAAGAATGGAGTTTGCTAGATAAAATACTCATAGTCATTACTGACAACGCTTCTAACATTACTAACGCAGTAACCAAGGAATTGATGTGGAAACATTTCGGTTGTTTTGCGCATAAATTAAATCTTGTTGTACGCAGTGCTCTGAAATCCGAAACGTTAATAATTGAGAAAGTAAAAACCATAGTGAATCATTTCAAAAGAAGCCCACAAGCGACAGAAAAACTGTTAAAGGCTCAAAGGCAACTAGGGAATGACAATCCGTTATGTGTAATACAAGATGTCGAAACGCGTTGGAACTCAACATATCACATGATTCAACGGCTTGTAAAAATCCAAGAAGCAATTCGTAGTACCGTCGCTAATTTAAACGCACCAAAAATAAATATGTTGTCGGAGACGGAATGGAAAATCTGCGAGGAAATCTGTATATTGTTGAAGCCTTTCGAAGAAGCTACTTTGGAAGTTAGTGGTGAGAATTATTTAACGGGCAGCGTAATTATAGGAATTGCAAGAGGTCTAAATTCCGTTACCAAAAAGGCTATTAATTTAAACTACTGCGAAAATTCAACAAATTTTGCCGATCAGCTTGTTGCTGGTTTAGAACAGCGTTTTCCAGATTTGGAAAAAAGCAGAACAATCGGTGTATGCACGTTTCTGGACCCTCGTTTCAAATTATATATATTTGAAAACCAAGAACATGCCCAAGATATAAAAAAACAAGTAATTAACTTAGTGACCGCTATTATTAATGTAAAAACTGCAGAAGCAAGCACTGGCCGACAACAACCACGGTTGGAAGCAAAAAAAGAAACCGACAATAGTACTGAAAAAAATGTACTGTCATACTGGGCAGAGTTTGACAATAAAATGGCCGATCTTATTCCTAAGGGGACAGCTACGTCTCAGGCTATTTTGGAGGTCGATAGGTACTGTAACGATACCATCATTTCCAGAAAGGATGATCCACTGCTGTGGTGGAAAAATAATCAACAACTCTATCCGAATTTGGCGGATTTGGCAAGAAAACAGCTTTGTATGGTCGCAACTAGCGTACCTTGTGAACGACTGTTCTCCAGAAGTAGCCTGATAATTAGTGACAGAAGAACACGACTTTCTGCTACAAAAGTTAACAAGTTACTTTTTTTAAATGCGAATACATAGAATAATTTCAGCAGTTTTTGTTGTATTTTTATTACGCATAATTTTTTTTATATTTTAAAATACGTTTTACTATTTGTTACTTTGATTTTTTGTTACGATGTTCATACCTTTTTATTTTGTAAATTGTTTAAATTACATATATATTTTTTTCCAAATTAAATATATGTACTTCATATAGCCATGTCCTAATTATAAATACTATTTAAAGGTATTTTTTTACTCATTCACTCATTCTCGGAACGGTCAAATCGCAGAAAGCTGAAGGCTGAGTAGTAAAGACTAGTAAGTAACGCTAAACGCAAATATTTTATTATTCATATTCGCAGAGGACTTCATTAATTATTACGTTACGCGGAATTTTAGGTGATAGTTACTGTTATATAAAGAGTGATAATTTCACAGCTTGCAGTAGCAGCTACTTTTTGATAGCAGTCGCAGTGATCACCGATATTAAAATTTCACTGTTAAGCACACCCCTAGCTATTGGCGAGACGACCAGACACGTCGCCTAACCTAGAAGCTTGTAACCGCCGTCCTGCCCCGCGCGCCGCACCACCGAATGGAATGCAGTCAGTCGTGAAGAGTCAAGCAAATAGTGAATTTACGGACATTACAGGTTCCGGAACAGCTACGTTTGTTGCTGACGTTTTTGGCGACACGAAAAACATCTCACTCCACAAAGCTTTTCATGTTCCCGACCTAAGAGTAAACTTACTTTCTGTTGCAAAGATTACCGATAAAGGATTTGAAGTTTTATTCACGAAGGAAAATGCTTTGATCTATGATAGTAATGGTGATATAAAAGTTGTAGCCGATCGTAGTGGCGATTTATACTACGCGAGAGAAGGCGAAGCGCAGAACAAATCAGCTTTCATTTCAATTCTAAAAATGTCAAACTATGGCATCGTAGATTAGGACATTTGAATTAGGATTTGAATTCTTCATTGAAGAAAGGAAGATTAGGTGGAATAAATATTGAAAATATGCCTAATAATGGGGAACTTAATTGCGAAATTTGCATGACGCGGAAAAATGACGCGTTCACCATTCCCGAAGACAGGGAATCGGAAATGCTAGAAATCGTACATACTGATGTTTGTGGTCCCATGCGAGTAGGATCTCACTCGAAGTACAAATATTTTGTCGAATTCATAGATGATTATTCTAGGTATTGCACGGTATTCTTCATGAAACATAAAAATGAAGTTGTGCGAAAGACTCAGGAATATATTACACTGGTCGAAAACCAAAAGAACAAAAAGATAAAGTGCATCCAATCTGACAACGGGACGGAGTACACATGTAAGGAAATGGAGGATCTCCTGAAAAAGCACGGAATTTCACGTCGCTTGACTTGCCCATACACTCCGGAACAGAACGGTATAGCGGAGAGGTAAAACCGCACTCTCTTGGATACAGCACGTTGTCTAATCATGCAGTCCGGCTTACCTCCGATCTTTTGGGCTGAAGCCATCAACACGGCCAACTATTTGCGGAACAGATGTCCATCCAAAAGTCTGAACGGGTTAACACCATATGAAAAGTGGACTGGAAAGACTCCCGACGTTTCGCATCTCAGAGATTTTGGTTGCAAGGTCTTCTGTCTAAACCAAGATCAGGCCAAGGGGAAGCTAGACGCAAGATGTAAGGAAGGAATTTTCATAGGGTATTCGGAACAAACGAAAGGATACAAGGTCTGGTTGCCGAAGGAGAATAAATTCGTAGTCACGAGGGATGTTAAGTTCTTGGAAAACGCAGAAGTCACAAGCCAAGAATGGACAGATTTTATTCTGGAAGGATCATCCAAGGAGAATGAATCTGAGACGCATACTTTCGAGGTACAGCTATCCCCAGTTGTCGAGAACAAAAATCCAGAACATGAATCTCCTACAACGGAACAAGAAGAGCCCGAGGTTGATCACGATTCTGAGCCACCCAGGCGTGCCCGCGGGAGACCCAGAATTCGGCGAACTGGTTCGAGGGGAAGACCTAGAAAGATATACAGGTACAGGACACCCCCGAGAGGTTCAGCACTCTCTTCTGAAGAGGTATTACTGTCCGAGGTCCCGATGCATCAGGCAGTCAGAGGCGAGGACGCTGACGAATGGCACAAGGCGATGGCAGACGAAGTGGCAT